AACTGGTATTTTACTGGTGTTTTAAGGATCAGTACAGAGGAATTATAAACAATTTGCTTTTTTTTTTTTCTTTGGTTCAGGGTCACATTGGATGTCATTCAGATGTTTGGCGTTGGAAGGGGATTCGAGCACATTCTCTTGATTATCTGTCTAACAACAGGAGCAGAGAGCAGGTGATTCTACATGGGCGCCATCTTCCTGGAAGTCCCCTTGTGGGTTTCTGAGACTGTAACTCTTCATTGGAGTAGAAAGCCTCATCTTTCTCAGATGGTGGTTTTGAACTGCTAACCGTGTGGTTAGTAGTCCAACTGCTGACTCATTATATAAGGTTTCCAACCCTATTCATAGCAGCCATATAAAGTTTCTGAGATGCACCCTATTAATATGGCCCTTCTAGCCATAACCCTTTATGTGATGCATTATAAGTTCTAGCCTCTATGCCTATGAACCTTTGTAGCTCAATGGTTACCTACTGGGCTGTGATAGGCAAGCTCTGCAGGCTGAAGCCACCAGCCACTCCTCAGGAGAAAGACGAGGCTTTCCCTAAAGAACTACAGTCTCTTGGAAACTGACCGTGGCAGTTCTACCATGACCGCTAGGGTTACTTTGTCAACATGGCCTCCATGGCAGTGAGTTTGGTTTTGAGTCTTTGGTCAATGGCATGAGTTTGGTTTTGAGTTTTTGGTTATGCTTATGGTCTCATTTTGGAGGGAGTTCTGTGTTAAATGTATAGACCGAATTAAGGTGGGATTACGTCTCTACTTTAGTAGAGAGTGTGAACCAAGATACCACCCTTTGTTTCCTTGGTGTTATGGTCAGCCAAATGACAAAAACCACACCTCAAAGCCGTCTCTGTGTACAAGAGCCATCTAGGGCGCACAGAGAAATCCCAGGAGAGCCATCAGTAGAGCATGTTGTGTCTCTGCATTTTGGAAATCTCATTTCCATACCATTCATTAAAGACTCTTCCCTCCTCAACAAGCGGACTTGGCACTGTCGTTGAATATGAGTGGATCATAGATGTTGTCTCTTTTGCAACGGAGACAAAATTCAATCTCACTTTAAGTTGTATCAGGTATATAATATAGTATCCAGTGGCTCACATATTGCTTAACCATGATCTTTTCCTAAAGCAACCAGACCGTCTATCTCTCATCGCTCCCAAGATTCTTGCATTCAAGTTAATTCAACGTAACACATTAAGTTGTTCCAAAAGCCAGGCACGGTTCAGGGTGCAGGTATAAAGGACCATGTGGAATTCTCATGGCAATCTTGTGCAGTTGACTTTTTTCCTTCTTTTTGACCTTTTATTGTGAATTGGAGGAGCCCTGGTAGTGTAGTGGTTACACATTAGGCTGCAATCAACGTCAGCACATCGACTCCAGGGCGGTGAATTTCTAAGTTTGGATTGTGAACTGGTTAAAAATTTAGAGCTAATTAGTTTTCTATTCTACAAAGCAGACATGTTTTGTTTCATATCAGTGACTGCAATTCCCACAATGCAGGATCACTTACCCCACTCCTTACGAGTGTTTCCTGTTCTCATTCCTCTCTGACCTCTTTCTTTGGATAAGCAGTAGAAATGGTTGATTATTCTAAGGTATGCATCCACCCTAGCATTATTGTTTCCCTTATGATGTTGTGGTTGTTGTTGGGTGCCACGGCATCAGTTCTGTCTCACTGTATCCCTATGTACAGTCGAATGAAACATTGCCCTCTTTTCTGCACCCTCCTCGCCCTTTGTGACAGTCACTGTGCCAATTAATCTTACTGAGGGTCTTCTTCGCGCGGACTGTAGACCACGCCTGATGGCCTTTTCTAGGGGCTGGTTTTGTTCGATTCCTCCGTGGAAACACCTCGTCCTTGGCTTCCCACGAGAAAGAATTCACAGAAGCTGGTTTGTGATCCAAGAGTGTATAAGGAGAGAAGTGTCAGGTCTTGCACAGGCACCCTCGGGGCACTTCACACCCACACGTGGAAGCCTGAGGCCGGAGAAGCAGCTCGGAGAGAGGAGCAGCTGTTAAGGAGAGGGGTGTGCTCCTGGTTGCGGCTTTTTTTTTTGGGGGGGGGGTGTCTGGGGCTGGGAGGCGTGGTCGAAGGTACTGGTTAACCCCATTGGCTGAATTAAACCCACCTGATCTAGATTAGGGCCCTCCCAGGTGTCCTGGCTCCCTGTCTCAAAGGCCTGAATTTGTGCATGCCCTCTAGCCTTAAGGCTTCCAATTTCCTGTAAAGGGGGGTGGGGGTGAGGAGGGAGGTAGGCCTTAGCTTGTAGACTAAGGGACCACCCCTGGTTTCTGCCTCTAGCTATCTAACAGTGTCTCTGGATAAGAGGTCCAAAGAATGTGACACTGTTTCACCACCCTTGCTTCAAAGCAGCATTCTGCCTTTACTCCTTCCAGGGCAGATTTGTTTGTTCTTTCCGCAGCCCGCAGCATTCTCGATACTCTTCCCTAGCATCATAATCCAAGTGCATCCATTCTCCTGTCTTCAAGACAGTCCTGATTGGTGGGAAGGTGGTTGAGGTTGCAGGCAAGGGTGGGGGCAAGCGCCCATGTGGGCTCCTGGTCTTGGCCAACAGTTAGCACACCTTCATTGTCATCAAGCCTGATGGTGTGCAGCCCTGTCTGGTGAACAACGTCATGCAGATCTTTGAGCTAAGGGGATTTGCCTTCTGGCCCGATTAGTTAAGGCCTGTGAGGAACACTGAAGCAGCACTACATTGGCCTGGAAGACTGCGCATTATCCCGGGACTGGTGAAGTACATGAACTCAGGACCAGTGTGGCCATGGCCTGGGAGGGGTTCAATGTAGTGAAAACTGATGCTTGGGGAGCCCCATCCAGCAGATTCTAAGCCAAGAGCCACCCTTGGGGATTTCTGTACTCAAGTTGGCAGGAACATCATTCGTGGCCGTGATTCATTACAAAGTGCTGAGAAAGAACCCATCTCTGGGTTCAGCCAGCATGGGTTGACTTCAGGTCATGTGGCTATAACAGGATCTACGAGGAAGAGGTGGGCAAGACAGTTCCTTCTCTGTGGGCATCGCTTGATGTGCTTGTCCTGTGCTCAGCTTTTCATTCCAAGCTTGCAAGCAGTTGGATTGAGGACCTTTTCTTTTCTAAAGCACATTTGCTAATAAAGCCTTTGGAAATTGGGAGAAGAAAAGACAACCCTTGACTGGGCCATTATAGACTGATTTTCAACAGTGGTCCTACTTGTTTTAGGGGGGAAAGAGACCCAGAATTCAAATATCATGAATAGAAACACAGTTATGAAAAGTCTTCCACAGGATAAAGACAAGATAAAGGCAGAGAATTTGGATGAGGGAGACCATCAGCAGGAGACTACAATGTTGTCGAAGGCGTCACAGAGACTCAGTCATTTATAAGACATGGAGAACAAAAGGAAACTGTCAAACTCATGACTGGTGGCTGATCAGTTCATCACAGTTGCAGGCAGGGCTAAAGAAGCAAGCGGGGACCATGATTAGGAAAAGCTTAAAAGATGGCTTCAGGGCTTCTAATCATCCAGGTTGGGGGAACTCATAACCAGACCTTAAAACCCCCAAATTAAACCCATTGCCATAGAGTTCATTCTGACTCACATGAACCCTATGTAACTTTTCTGAAGCTATCTATTTCTTTACAGTAGCAGGCAGCCTTATCTTTCTTTAGAGGAGTGGCTAGCGGGTTTGAACCACCAACATTGGGGTTAGCTGTACAAGGCTTAACAGATAGTGCCGGCTTGCACGCACTCACGCATGCACGCACACCACCACCACCACCACCACCACCACCACAGGCACACCCAATTAAGTCCCTGAGGGTAAGGAAGCCCCTCCTTGAGGTCAGAGCTTTCCCAGTTTGTTCAATGGTCTGCAAGAATTTAATGGTGGCTGAATACCTGGAGACTGGAAAAATGGAGTTAGGCTTTCCATTGTAAATCAGAGTCTTCTGGAAATCGGGGGCTCAGAATTTCAGTTCTAAGCCACAGGGAATCACGGAGTAAACCATTTATCGGCAAGAGCTGGGCACCAGTGCAATTTTCCCAAGTCTGTTCCATTGGCTGGCATCGGGAAGCTGAGCTGTGTGCGAGGACTCCCGTGCTCTCACCCGTTCATAGGCTGGAGCCAGCGTCAAGGCTGAGTTTTAAAACTACATGACAATTGTAAGACAAAAAAGATGAAGGTGAGTGCTCTTTGTTTCTGCCAGCCTCTCCCACTTCCCAATTTGAGGATTTAGGCAATTAGCTCAGTTCCTTGGACTTTTATGATGGAAACTGAGTGGGGGAATAGGAGCTAAAAGGGGAAAGGAAACTTTACCCAAGGGAGATGGCAGCAGTCTACATAATAAAGGGCTGAGAAAAGGTGGGGGCAAGGCAGAATGCCTTTTCTTCTTATTTTTTGTTAAAGTGGTGCCTAAAGCAACACAGCTCACCTTTTGTGGTTAGATGGAGTCAATAGTATTTATCGTCCTCAAAAAATGGCCCATAGTTAGAGAAAAATTCATAAACAGATTTCGTACTTGGATTTTAACGTTTCCCTCACCCATAAAACCAATCTTGTGAAAAGAGCGCTGGTGGCATGGTGATTAGGAGTTGCGCTGCAGCCTCAAGGTCAGGAGTTCAAAACTACCAGCAGCAGGAGAAAGACCAGGCTTCCCACTCTCATAGAGTCAGTCTTGGAAACCCAGACATAGTTATACCCTGTCCAATAGGTTCGCTATGAATCGCCATCAACTCGGTTTACGATTAATCATTAATCGTAAATTCATTTCTGACTGAAAGTGTTAAGTAGTTAGATTTAGGGATGGGGCAGCAGAGATATTTATTGAAATGAATGATTTGTATTCTGGTTCTCGAAACTTTTGCAGTAAAATTATAGCCTATTTTTAGAAAACAATTGGTAAGAATTGGAACCTTGCATTGGTGTTAAATTTTTTTTAAGTGTTAAATTTTAAAGCAAATGTTTATAATTGAAATAAACAAGACACTCTTTGAATAAAATTTATAATAACATTTATTTAGGCAAAACAAAAAAAACCCAAACAAAAATCTGTACACACATTGATACCAAGTGATATCTTGATTTAAAATGTAGCATGATTCTTGTACAGAATACACCCATTCTTCTGGCCACAGTGAGAACAGTGCCTTCAGTCCAGATAATTCAGAACCCTTGAATGTATACACATGACACTTTCCAATAAAATTGTCATATCCTTTTAAAGGAGCTAAACTCTTCTAGCACAATGCAAGCAAAAGATTGCTGTAACCAAAGTCAGTGAGATTTGACAATGGGAATTTATTTTATTCCTGAAGGTTACTCAGAGTATAAATCTTAACGTCCTCTTATTTTTAAAGAGAAAAAAATGCTTTCAAGAATTTGTTTTATTAATGCTTCTCTCTGCTTATTAACTAGGTAGCTTGTTGTTTTTAAGCTGATTCAAATAAGCCTCAAATAACAGAGTTGGAACTATTTTTATTCAAGTCCAAAGTCAACGACATATGCTTAATGAGCGGGTTTTATAGCTTATCCCTAAATAATTTTCATAAATTTTGATTATCTAAATATTCTTAGTAGCCATTCTGTCTAGCTATAAAGTTAGGTTGTCCAAATGAGCTTTGTCTCACCTAGAGTAATGAGAAACACCATTGATCTTCACATAATTTGCTGACAAAAAATCAAAAGTGGAGAAAGCAGCACGGAAAAGCTCTTTCTTTTAAGAAAGCTATGTTAACGACCTGTTTGTTAACATAGTATCCTGGGTTAAGATTTAATTATCAAAGAATGCATAATTAAGAGTGTACCGTGTCATGGTAAATGTGAAATACTAAACAATTATTTATTAGAAGCATAGTCAATATATTTTCTTACCATATTGCTATCCTCACCACTGGACCACGGCTGGTTTTGCATTAGTATTCCCAAAATAAACAGTTTGTGTGAGTTAACACTACAATATTAAAAATGCATTAACACACCGCAAATGGTAAAGGCTAAACATCCAATATCCACACAATCGTTTGAAACTATTGCAAAGGGTTTGAGAGGGAAACCAAAAGTTCAAACCTCTCTGGAAGCTGCCTCAGACCCCCCTCTGACGTCCCAGCAACCCAAGAATCCCCAAGGCATAGCATATACGCTAAAACTGGAAGGGCCCACATCAGCTGACACGATTATACCGTCTGTACTTATGTCTTCAGCATAATAATACTGTTTACTCCAACATAAAAACTGCATAATACTAAATGATGTAAACAAATCATCAGAGGACAAAGTGAGGTATGTTTCACCATGTACAAAACAAAAAGGTTGCTTTCTTTGTTACTTTGTGACCTGTCTTCAACCTTGGGAACTGCTGCCCACTGGGGGTAAAGCATTGAAGTATTTTAAAGTACAAAGTCCCAGAAGAGGGGAAAAGGGGTCTTGGTAGCACAGAAGTTTAAGCACTCAGCGGCTAACCATTAAATTGGTGGTGCCAGACCACCAGCCACAGTGCGCTGGAGGAAGATGAGGCCATCTCTTCTGTAAAGGTTTACGGCCTTGGAAACCTGTGAGGCAGTTCGACTCGATCCCGTGAGCTCACTAATAGTTGGGATTGCCTCTATGGCAGTGGTTTGGATTTACGGCAGAAATGCATCTTGGAATTCTACTACTGGGTGCATTTTATACACACTTTGGTTAAGGGCTTACTTGCTCTGGTGAGAACTTCAACAAAGAGCTGGCGTTGAAAACAGTAGAGACCAAGATGACTTCAAAGCAAGGGTTACCCCGGTAAAGATACCCACTAAAAAGCAACATCCCTTTGTTTTAAGATTGAAAAGTACTGACATATACTCACAACCTTATCTCGGCACACAAAATAGAGTCTTATCATAATGTGCTCCACAAAGTTAAGCAACTGCCCCCGTGCTATCTTGCGGTATTCTCAGAATTAAAATCATAGCCAAATAAAAGTAACTGGGGAGAAAACAAAAGTTTCATGAGTTAAAAAAAAAAACTTCCTAAAGCTAAGTACATAGGATTGGCGTTTTTAGATATGAACCCTGGATTCTTTGGACATTTGAAAATAGAAAGTCTTGTATAAACAAACTTCTCTAGCAGCTTTAAGGTGATTCACCTCAACTTTGGGTAATCCACTTAAATTGACTACTACCCACTTCGTGGCATTTCTTCTAGGGGTGAGTAACAGAAATTCCACAAATTGTAGATCTGATGTGCTTTTTTAAATCTTCAACTAGCATCAGTCGCCTCTGGCCAGAGGGGAAAATCATTTCTTATTATACTTGACTTGTTTTGTTTTTCAAATGCAAAAACAACAAAATATTTTTATATAGTATTAAGACAATGGCCAAACTTGTTAGAAAGAATAAGATGCCTTTATTTTTGCCCTAATTTCAGATTAATCTTGTTTTACTCAGTGATACCACCATGCATTATTATACTCTAAAAAAATCCAATTCCCTTTTCTTTAGTATATCTAAGCCTCGCTCGTGCTTGGAGCCTATCTTATTCTTACCAGTTGCCGTCATGTTGATGTCCAACACTTGGCAACCTGAGCTGTCAGAGTAGTGTGCTACGTAGGTTTTCAATGGCTGAGATGATCCATGGTAATCCTAGCAACTGAGGCCCTCGGGGTGGACTCAAACTTCCCACCTTACAGTTTGTAGCCCAGAATGTTAAAATTGTTTGTGCCACTAAGCACTCCTAGTGATGGTTTAAAATTTCTGAGTGCACCAATAATTTGAGAAATAAGTGGTTCATCCCTAGTCTAATTGTGCTTGAAATAGCACCTGTAAGCCACCTCAGAGATAGGTAACCCATGAAGACAACAAGTCCTGCGCCCTTCTAGTATACCATTGTGAAAGGGAGGACTTACAGATTTAGTTAGAGACCGGCCAGTTAGGTCTCATCATTTATACACCTGTCTGTGTATGTATGTGTATAATATACACACACATATACACTAAATTTTAGGTAGATCTGAGACCATAACGACAATTTTATTCCTTACTCATTTACAGTTAAGAACCATCCCAACCACAAAGGCACTAAAATTTTTAGAATTTCAGAGGTGAACAGTTTTCTTTGAGGACTCAAAAGTACCTGATCACGACTGATGCTTACAGTATTAAACTTATTTGCTATTAAATATTTTTTAATCTTTACCTATCAATACGTTATCTCTGAAAAAAAAGAAAGGAAGTAACTGTTTCTAGCCCATTCTGAAATCAATTTGTAAAGACAAAAACTTGGCATTAATCTAGAAGGAACACACATTTTCGTCTTGAAGAACACAAACTAGAAATGTGAAGACAAACATCATAAATGCGTTTTTCCTTAAGTACACTACGTGAGAGACCTGAGAATGATCACAAGAACTAGTAACTTCCAAGATTAGAGCTGGTAACTTTCACGATACTATATATAGGCCTTTTCTATTTTGCATTCTGTCTTAGCCATTAGAATCCAGCAAAAAAATGGAAAATAATTTTTTAAATTTCCTCTGAAATTAGACTTAACATATGAAAATTTATCTTAAATCAAGTCAGAATTAAAATTCCATGTTTTCGAATGGTTCTAAATAGCTATTCATTAATTTTTTCCTGTTTTTAACCTTGTGAGGAAGTTTTAAGTAATTCAAGTCTAAAAGTAGTATGACACTTGTCAAAATGTTATCAACATCTTAATAAACCAGCTCCTCTTTAAATTAAGATGCTTCTGAATAATTACTATAATTTACATATTTCATTTAAAATCTCAATGGATAACATTTTGGTCATTTTTGGGGAAAAAAGAATCTGGTCTTTTGAGATTGCAAATGATCTATCACAATATGTAAATTAAAATAAAAATTAAGTTTCTTGGTGACTTTCTGTCTCCCAAGTGTTATTATTAATATAATAATTGATTCTTTACAATATTGTAACAGGTACCCTTGAGGAAATGGCAATTTCTGAAAACAAATCCATCAAAAACATTTCCTCTTATACACTGAAACTAGAATCATTACATTTAACGATGATCTTATAATACTTTCTCATTTCTGACAGTGGACATTTCCCCCAATTTGAACAACAGAGGATGTATAGATATTGAAACAAAATAAAACTTAACTTCTCATGGCACAATATGCTGTTGTTAATTGTCTTTTAACTGACCAAGTGACCTCATCTTCATCTGTGTTCTCTAGTCCACTGAACAAACATGACTTTGAAATAGAGGGAAGAGAAGGGCCAGTTTTAACCAGAGGAAAGTTTTATAAAAATTCACATTTTCACATCAAAATGACCTAGAGACTTTTGGACAGTTAGTTTCTAACACAGAATGTTGTACTATGGGACACTGTGATGCTTGGGGAAATAGATGTAGGACAATCAGCAGTCTGTGCAGGGAGCAGTCCAAGCTTTGGATGTAAGTGTGGAAAACAAGCCACTGCGCTCCAAAGGACAGCATCTGCCATTCTAGAAGTGACCCTTTCCCAGCCTCTAAACACCTTTTTCTCTCAATAAATTTTCTCTTGAATGTATTTCTCTGTCAACCATTCAGGGTCCAGCTGGTGAGTAGCTTCCACAGGACAGGATTCCAATTTCCGTTCTTTTACACAAGAGGACATCTTGTAAAAGATACACACACAGAGAATTTTATACAGAAGCAGTATAAAATTTACAACTACAGCAGTGCCGGAAATCAGGGTAACAGCTTATCTGCGGCTGCAAATGGATTGGAAGGGATAATGAAATCAGAAGAGTCTGACCTAAGGGTTCGTGCAAACTTTATCATAAAACTGTAGATTCTCAAGCATAGGTAAATTCAAACACTGAAAGATGTGGAAAATTTCCTAAAAGGCAATGGTGAAGGAAGAGACCCTTCTTGCCTCATAAGTTAAAAATCACAAGACGAATTAAGACTGTTCACATGGTCAGCACTGTATATCATCAATCCCAAATAGATCCTATGACTTTTGTCTTAGAAACTCACAAAACATCATAGACGGGAAGCTATTCCAAATGAACCAATGACAAAAACTATTCCTGTGACTGGATTACCCAATTACCTATGGCTATCAATTTAGTCGGGCCTGGGGTTGCTTTTTACAGGGAGGTGGCCTCCCATGACGTACGATGTGTTTTTCTAAGCTGTCCAGAATGGCCACAGCAATCTGTTGGACGTGGGGATCAGTCTGTTCATGTTCTTTGATGTTGTATAAATGCTGCAAACCTCCTTCTTCAATCAGCATACTGCAGTACCTTGAGGCTGAAAGAAAACAGAATAGCTTGAAACACGAAAAATATCTCACCAAAAAATCCATTCTTAGGAGTTTGCATTTGAGTTTTAGCTTTGTTTGTTTACATTTTATTTTGTTATTGACCATTGATATGGGCTATAGTTTGTGAATTCCTCGGATGATGTGTGCAGTACAAAACTCCAAGTCTGCTAAACTATGAAAGAATCTGAAATAAATAAAAATGCCCAAGACACACAAAAATAATATACATACTTACTATTTATGTGTTGGGATATATACCATATTTATATTACACAAGACCTCTTTAAAGTGTTGAAGAGCAAGGATGTCACTTTGAAAGCCAAGGTGTGCCTGACCCATGCACCATGGCATTTTCAATTTCTTCATATGTGTGTGGACGCTGGACAATGAATAACCAGAGAAGACGGAGGTATTTGAATTATAATGTTGGCTAAAAATATTGAAAATACTGTGGACTGCCAGAAGAACACACAAATCTTTCTTGGATGAGGCACCACCAGAACATTCCTAGAAATGAAGATGGGGCGGTCAGTTCCAGGGACTCTTGACATGTTATTGGGAGAGACCAGTCCCTGGAGGGCTGTGAAGATGGCACAGAACTAGGAAGTGCTTCACTCTGCTGTACATATGTTCACTGATTTGGACTCAGCTCAAGACACTGTGTGTGTGTATGTGTATGAGAGAGCGTGTGTGCCTGTGTTGTGTGATGCATAACACTTTCCCTCAAATCAATTCTGACTCATAATGATCCTAGACGGTAGGGTAGAGCTGCCTGTAGGTTTCTTAGACATTAGTTTTATGGGAGAAGCCCTAGTGAGTTACAAGTTAATTTCAAGGTCAGCAGTTCAAACTCACCAGTCACTCCTCAGGCAAAGATTTGACTTTCTAACCTCCAAAAGATTTACAGCCTCAAAAACGCACTCTGCTCTATGGAGTCACGATGAGTCAGAATTTACGGGAAGGCAGGGAGTTTGGGTTAACCTTTATGGGAACACGTTGCTAGTTCTTTTCTCCCATGGAGCTGCTAGCAGGTTTGAACCTTTGAATTTTTGCAAGGCAAGCAAATGGTTAACCATTGCATCACCAGGTCACATGTGCATACCTTCTGTGTGTGTGTGTGTGTGTGTCTGTATATGATAATTAATTGCCTTTTTATTTGCACATGAATATAATGCATTCATGTTTCCTCACAGTCATAATGAGTTGTTCAATATGCAGAAGTGTGTCTAAAAGTTTCCTTTTTAGAAAAATGGTATTCAGACACATTTAATTTGGGCATTGCTATAATGCTGTTAGATGCCATCAAGGTGGCCCCTACGCATCGTGACCGTCTGTCCAACAGAAAGAAGCACTGCCTGGTTCTGATTCATTCTTCATCAGCAGGGACACTGCTTGAGTCCCTTGTGTAGCCAGTGTCTATCCATCTTGTTGAGGATCTTACTCTTTTTTGTCGCCCTTCTATTTCAACAAGCATGATATCCTTCTCCAGGGACTAGTCCTTCCTGATAACATAGCTATAAAGTCTGCGAGGCAGTCTCACCAGCCTTATTCCTTTTCTTTTTTTTTTGCATGTAAAACAAAACAATGTTAAGGATTTTATTTATTTATTTATTTAAAACATTTTATTAGGGGCTCATACAACTGTTATCGCAATCCAGACACACATCAATTGTGTAAAGCGCATTTGTACATCATTCTCAAAACATTTTCTCTCCACTTAACCGCCCCCCCCACATTAGGTCCTCATTTTTCTCCTCCCTCCCCGCTCCCCCCTCCCTCATGAGCCCTTGATAGTTTATAAATTGGTATTTTGTCATATCTTGCCACCAGCCTTATTTCTAAGGAATATATATATATTTTAATCTTTTATCGGGGACTCGTACAACTCTTATCACAATCCATATATACATCCATTGTGTCAAGTACTTTTGTACATTTGTTTCCCTCATCATTCTCAAAACATCTGCTTGCTACTTGAGCCCTTGGTATCAGCTCCTCATTGTTTTCCCTCCCTCCCTATATTTATATTTTTAACCTCATGATGTTGACATTCTAGAAAAGAAAAAAAGAATCAGAATAATAAATAAGCACCTTACATATAAACCAAAACCGTAGGTAAGTTACTAATCCACTTTCATAAATTTTCAAAAATTTCATGGCACTCATACTACATATGAAATTTATTTTTAACTATCTTCTTTGCTTTCTGTTTTTAAAACAATTTCTTCTCTTTGTGTACACAAATTTTAAAGGTTTTAGCTTTTCTCATTAAGTCCTTCTTATTGAAGTTTAACTTACATATAATAAAATGAGTTTTGACAAATGTATACACCTGTCTAGCCACCACTACAACCACGGTACAGAGTATTTTCAACTGAAACGTTTCCCTGTTCCCTTAGCAGTCTGTCCCTCTTGCCCTTCAGCTCAGGCAACCACAGTTCTAATTTCTAAGCTAGACGAAGAATTTCAGAAAGATGAAATTATATAGTACGTACGCATTTTGTTTATCATGATGTTTTCGAGGTGTCTCCATGCTGACATATACGCCTAACAGATTTTTGTTTTCTTATATAAGCCAGGAAAATTCCATGCTTTCAGCATGCCACATGTTTTTCACCCATGATTGTGTTGATGGACATTTGCTTCATTCCGGTTTGGGGCTACAATGACTAAAACTGCTAAGTGAGGGCCAGCGAGGCCTCCAGATAGGTGTTTCTCTCTCACACCGCCTTCGAGTCAATTCCGACTGAACTGCCCCTATGGGTTTCTGAGACTAATTCTTTTCAGGAGTAGAAAATCTTGTCTTTCTCTTGCAAAGCATCTAGTGGTTTAGAACTGTTGACCTTGCTTGCGGCTAGCAGCCCAACATCCAACCACTACAAATCAGAGCTCCTACAGGTAGTTATTTAGGTGGGTACAAAACACTTTTCTCTGTCACTTCCCATTCTTTAAATGCTCTTTTGCATGTCTGACACAGAAGTGCTTATACTGAATTGCCTTTTGGTGGTAATGCATTAGATTTTCATCAAAGAATGCAACAAAAAATAATATCACAGACAGGACCTGGTCATTATTTAAAACCAATTAACCACTTACATATGCTTTTTTAACAGTATGTGCCCTATTAATGGCTTATATAAGGAGCCTTGGTGGTATGATCACGTAAGTCTTTGACTGCTAATCACAAGGTCAATGGTTCAAACCCATTAGCTACTCTGTGGGAGAAAAAGGAGGCTCTCCTGCTGCTATAAAGATTTACAGCCTTGGAAACCCTATATAGGGTTACTGTGAGTATGTGGCAGTGAGTTTGGTTTCTGGTTTAATGCATTATTTAAAAAAATAATAATATTTGCATTTAACTGCTCAAAAAACATTTCTTGTCCCCTGAGGAAATGTTTGGTTTTTTTTTTAGTGTAAACCATGTAGTTGATTCATTTTACCCCAGCCATAAGAAGTCTTTAAATCTCTATGTACATATATGAGAGGGTACTAAAAAAAATAATGGATTTTCCCCCCAAAAGCTATGTGTTTAAATTTTTTTTGGGGGGGGGGGAATAATATTTTATTGTCATCTTTGTTTACAATTGAAACTCCGGGAATTCAAAATTAACATCCTTGCCCGTAAGCTTCTTATAAACTCCAGAAAAGGTTTCAACCTTGTGTTCTACATTGTTCTGCTGTGCTTTGTCCAAATGAACCTTTATAAGCCTGCTGCCGTCCAGCTTGACCCGGATTCTCTTGCCCACAATTTCACTTGGGAAGACTAAGTCTTCAAGGATGGCATCGTGCACAGCTTTCAGAGTGCGGCTCCTGGGACGCTTTTGCTTATTCTTTGTACGGCTTTTCCGAGTTGGTTTAGGCAGAATTCTCCTCTGAGCAATGAAGACAACATGCTTCCCACTGAATTTTTTCTCCAGTTCCCGTACTAGCCGGACTTGGATTTTCTGGAAAGATTTCAGTTGAGGAACAGGAACAAAGATTATAATAGCTTTCCGACCACCACCAACTTCGATTTCCTTGGCTGCCGTTATATTCAGCTCCCTTAACTGCGCCTTGAGGTCCGAGTTCATCTCCAGCTCAAGAAGAGCCTTTGAAATGCCGGACTCGAATTCATCAGGCTTTTCGCCACTGGGCTTCACGATCTTCGCGCTTGAACTGAACATGTCTTGCCAAGCGCCGGCCTAGGAAGAGGCCAAAGTCTCGCGAGAGCTCCATCTCGTATTTAAATTTTTTTACAAAACAACCTTTATCACCTTCAAAGTACTCGCCATTACACTTAATACATTTGTCAAATCTGCGATTCCATTCTTGAAAACATTTTTCAAACTCATTGTTTGGATGGCTGACAGCACCTCCTTCGTTTTTTTTCCTCACCTCTTCTACATCGTCAAATCGCTGTCCTTTCATGTCCCTCTGCATTCCCAGAAACAAAAAGAAGTCCTATGGAGCAAGGTCAAGTGAGTCAGGTGCATGGGGCAAAATAGGCATATTGATTTTTGCCAAAAGCTGGACCACTGAGATAGCTGCATGAGCAGGTGCATTGTTGTGGGGGTGAAACCAGTCCCCCATCTCCCACAAATCAGGCCTTTTTTGGGTCACACACTGTTACACAATCTTTTCAGAACCTCTAAAATGAAAGCTTGATTAACAGTCTGACCAGGTGGAACAAACTCCGAGCTATTTGGGAAGTTGATGGACTTCCAGAATGAGGCTTGTCATCAATCGACATGTCTGTCACCTTTCTTGAAACAAGAAAACGACTCATACACTTGAGTTTTTCCCCATAGTGCTGTCCTTGTAAGCTGTGTTCAACATCACAGCAGTTTCTGTGGCATTTTCCCTGAGCAGGAAACAAAATTCCATATCTGCGTTGTTCTCTTAAATAATCCATCACAAAAAACAAGGTTAAAAAAAAAAAAAAAAAAAAACAAGGTTCAAGTGAAATTGCTTTTACAAAAAAAAATTCACTGTGACCAGACAGAACCTTCCCAGGTGATGCTACTGGGTGCACTAACTCAGAGCAAGTTGCTTGCCTCGTGGGAAAAATGCGTACTATGAAAGCTCCGCCAAGCAGAGCTCTCTAATTTTTTTTGTACCCCTCATATATCTAGTAATGCATGTCTATATTCAACTATTTCCCCCTCTCTTTATTCGTTATTTTTCCTTGGTCAAGATTGAGTATTTTTAATTTGTAACTTACTATTTCACGCCATGCATTTTTTCAACATGTACCAGATCATTTGTGTTTGTAGAAACCAACACAAAACTGAAAAAAAAAGAGTTGTATCACAGCTTTCAAAAATGAATGATCTGAAACAATATAAATTTTTTTGCTTTTCTAAAAACCATAAATGTTGAAAGCAAAGTCTTGAACTAAGAACAAAACATTGATGACTGAGGATAAGGCACTAGCATCCATTCTTAGCACTGACTCCGCCTAGGACCTTTTGCCCAACTAAATGGATTCACTATAGGCTCCTCAGCTTTAAATTCCGGGAAGTTAAGACACTGTAAGTCTCATTTACGGCTGTTACTCAGTTTCATTCTAAAAGAATAAATTTTGTTTTATAACCCTTGATCCTCTTATATTTTTAAAACTGTGTTACCTTCAAAATCATTCAACATACAATTCAGAAATGGCTTTCCAAAGATTAGAGGGTAACTTAAAGAAAATTTCACTTAGAGACAAAACAACATAGCTCTCTTTTCTGGTACTTACGATTCTTGCTACACACATGTTGCATGGCCCAAACTGCCCACAGTTGAACTCCAGGTGTTGTGAAACAGCCAAGTAATGGGAAAAATGGATTGAAGGACCTAGAGTTAAAAAAAGAAATTTAAATTACATCCTATAGTTAAATGTTATTTTTTCTGAAGTAATGAGTCCTGAAGTCTGTACTATGGACATTTCATCCTCTGCCATACTGAGGGTTGCTGAGTTGGAGTTTATTAGATAGTAAACAATAATTTCTACGCTAATATAACAATGCGCTATAGAACATCTTTTTTTGCAATAGCCACTTCAGAGAGAAGTGCATCAAGAAGAGGAAAAGGTGATCAGATCAAAACATTTTTAACTGATTTATTTATTTATTTTTAAAGATCATTTTATTAGGGGCTCATACAACTCATCACATTCCATATATACATCAATTGTGTAAAGCGCATTTGTACATTCATTGCCCTCATCATTCTCAAAATACTTCCTCTCCACTTAAGACCCCGGCATTAGGTCCTCATTTTTCCCCTCCCTCCCCCCTCCCCCCTCCCTCATGAGCCCTTGATAATTTATAAATTGTTATTTTGACATATCTTGCCCTGTCTGACGTCTCCCTTCACCCACTTTTCGGTTGTCAGATCAAAACATTAAGAGAGAAAAACATTTTTTCCCCCAAATCATTTTTCTGGCCATTAGGACAATATATCTGAAGATAACATATCTTGGTTTGAGAACTAAGAAAAGGAGAATGTAGCTGGTAATTGGTAAAAGACCATCAAGTAAGACTAGAATGAGCCTATTTCTACTGGTCTTATACACAAAAATGGGGAAATATAAGTAAGGGCGGTCAAAATTGCTGCAGCATCAGCATTTATGAAGCAGACCAAAAAACAGTTGTAATAAAATTATTTATGTAACAACCTGGATAATTTTAGATAATTAATAACAGCTATCAAGCTACCAAATTTTTACGATAAGACACATTGTAACTAACCTGATACTACTTATAGGTCCCGCAATGTGTCCTGTTGTTTTATACCACCTTACATTGATATGCTTCTTTTTCAAACATATTTCTACCCCTACTTCATTAGTCTTCCAAAATTCAGCTCACAAGTCATCTCCTCTACAAGCTTTCAATAATTGCCCAGTGTGTATTTCTCACCTTTAATTTCATAGCATATAGTGCTCGCTTCGGCAGCACATATACTAAAATTTCATAGCATATATCTAGAATTAACAGGGATGTATATCTGATTCACACTTGATCTACCTCACGTGACCGTATGATTCTTTGTATTTATTTATTTAAGTGTACGATTTTTGTGTGCAGGCACTGTGCCATATTCATTTTGAATTTCAAAAGCAACTTCAAGTACCTGGCACTTGTCTTCCATAGATGTGGAGCGAAGAAAGGACTACAGAATGAAAGGTGGGAGAACAGAATCAAAATATGCTGCCACTTTTAAAGCCAGTTCTAAACTAGATGGCTGAAGGGCAAATTACTCATCTAGTGGAAAAAAAAGATCTCTAGGCAAGCAAATAACTATATTGCTAGGTTAATATTAACAATCATATAATTACCTGTATGCTACCATCTCACACTCTGGAGTTGGCCATTTCAAAATAGCTGAATGCTGTAAGACACAAGACACACAAATAAAAGATAATAAAATTTATTTATCATTGATTGCACTATTACACTGAGGCTTTGATATTTTGATCACTATGAATGAATTTTGATTATCTGTTTCCAGAAAATATCAAATGATCCTACCAGATCATCCAGAAGAGAATTCCTTTGGCTGCGGCTCAGTGTCCAGGCCTGTTCACCTCTGGATATTAAGTGGGCAATAATTCCAGCTGCAAAGTAACTGACTTCCACTTCCACACTGTGTAGAAGGCTACTGATGTGGTCTATAAAATCCTTCCACATTAATTCAGAATGCAATTCCTGTACTTCAGCTATATTGTTCTGGAGACAAAAGAAGATATACAAATTAAATGAAATAGATAGATTACTCTGTAGTCTAAGAAAGGGCAGAAATTACAAAAATTTAAGCATATATGTGCACCTGGATAAACCAAGAACAGTATGGCTATGTTAGAATAATGTAATAACAGAGATTCTCTCCTTCCTGGGATTTCCATTCTCCACAATGTTATCCATAACTTGTTATGATGCACAAATTCAAATGCCTTTGCACAATCAATAAAGCGTCAGTAAACATCTCTTTGGCTTTCTCTGCTTTAGTCCACTTGACATCAGCCATGATGTGTCTTGTGCCGTGACCTTCAGAAACTAGCCTGAATTTCTGGCAGCTCCCCGTGGACATCCTGCTGTATCCATTTTTAAATGATCGTCAGCAAAATCCTACCTACATGTGACATTAATCATATTGTTCTGTAATCTCCACATTCTGTTGGGTCACCTTTCTTTGGGATAGGCACAAATATGGATATCTTCCAGTAGGTAGGCCAGGTAGCTGTCTTCTAAATTTCTTGGCCTAGGTGAGTACTTCCAGTGCTTCATTAGCTTGTTGAACATTTCACAATTGAAATGTCCCATCAATTCCTAGACCTTTGCTTTTGACTAATGCTTTCCGTGCAGCTTGAGCTTTGTCCTTCAGGCTCACTGGCTTTTGCCCATAATGCTACCTTTTGAAATGGCTGAAGGTCAACTGATTCTTTTGGGTACACAATTCTGTATATTCCTCTCAGCTTCTTTTGACGCCTCTTGCATAGTTCATTCTTTTGCCCACAGGATATGTCAATATTCCAAGACTAGGCTTGCATTTCTTCTCCAATTCTTTCAGCTTGAAATATGTTGACATTGTCTTCCTTTTAAGTTTTCCAATTCTAGATCTTTGCACATTTCATTATAATATTCTACTTTGTCTTCTCAAGCTGCCCTTTGAAGTGTTCTGTATAACTCTTACTTCACCGTTTCTTTCACTTGCTTTGGTTACTCTATGCTCAAGAAAAAGTTTCAGAGTCTCTTCTAACAACCATTTTGGTCTTTTCTTTTTGTTCTGTTTTTGGCTTTGTACCCCTGTTTTTTGTTTGTTTTTTAATGATATTTTGTGTGTACCCTAGAGAAGCAACCTACTACAAACATTGGCTAGTGCAACCACGAAGAGCAGTGGAGGACTGTCTGGCAGTAGCAGAGCATGGGTCCTGAGGCTGCAGAGCACGCAAACCATAAGCGGGGAGGAGCTGCTGCCTCCAAGTGGGTCCACCCAATGACGGCAGAGGAGCAGCACTCCCAGGACCTTCGTCTGCTGGTGAAGAATGACTCCCAGGTGAAGAGAAGCAAGTATCAGGATGGGGACTGTATAAAGTGTGGAGTCTAGGCAAACTGAAAGTTGTTAAAGATGAAATGGAACACACATGAAGGTCTACATCCTAGTACTTAGTGAGTTCATATGGCCTGGTATTGGCCATTTTGGATCAGACACATTGTGGACTACTATGGCGGAAATGACAAATTTAAAAGAAATGGTGACATATTCATTGTCAAACAGAACACTTCCAGATCTGTCCTAAAGTACAATTGTGGCAGTAATAGGGTAATAGTCATATACTTACAAAGAAGACCAGTTACAATTATTATTCAAATTTATGCACCAATCACTGACAGCAAAGATGGAGAAATTGAAGATTTTTACTAAATTCTTGAGTTTGAAATTGATCAAGCACAATCAAGACACAATAATTACTAGTGATTGTAATGTGAAAACTGGGCAAAGGACTATGAGTAGTTGGGTAGCCATGGTGATACAAATTAAACAGAACATCACATGGGAGAATTTTTCAAGACAAATGGAAATTCATTGCAAATGCCTGTTGTCAAAAACACTACACACATAGACCTCACTGGGTGGAGTACACAGGAATCGAATCTACTGAGTCTGTGGACCATGACGGAAGAGGTTAGTGTCATCCATGGAGCAAGGCTTGGGTCTGACTGCAGAAAAGTGATCAATTGCTCATTTGCAAGTTTGAAATGAAGCTGAAGAAAAAAATTTAAAAGTCCGCAAGAGCCAAAATATAACTATGAATATACCTCACCTGGATTTAGAGACCCCTCAAGAATAGATTTGATGCTTGTTGAACATTAAAGACCTCCAACTCTCAGAGGGCTAATCTGAGCACATATCTAAACATAATATGAAATCTCTAACTTCAGCAATCCTTTGTGTTGTTGTGTGGTGCTCCAGAGTCTGCTCCGCTCACGGCAATTCTACGTGCAGCAGAACGGAAGATTCTGTTAACGGCTGTTGCTGCAGCCACTATGCCAATCCATCTCATCAAGGAGCTTCCTCTTTTTCACTGCCCTACTTTATCAAGCTTGATGTCCTTTTCCAGAGGTTGGTCTCTCCTTATAACAAGTCCAAAGCACACAAGACGAAGTACTTTGGGAGTACTCCCTAGATAAGGAGTAATTATTAATTATCAAACATAACAAGAACAAGGATAGGCTAATGACATTTAGATGAGATCATTGTTCTGATTATAAAATAACACACTCATTAAAAAAACTGTACACAATGTAATAAACAAAGTGCATATATTAAAAAATTTTCTTTTTAATAATTAAATCATTTTATTGGGGGGGTTGTACAACTCTTAACACAATCCACACATACATCCATTGTGTCAAGCACTTTTGTACATATGTTTCCCTCATCATTCTCAAAACATTTGCTTTTTACTTGAGTCCTTGGTATCAGCTCATTTTTTTTTCCCTTCCCCACCTGCTCCCCCTCCCCCATGAACCCTTGATAATTTATAAATCATTATTATTTTGTCATATCTTACACTGTCCAACATCTCCCTCACCCACTTCTCCGTTGGCCGTCCCCTGGGGAGGAGGTTAAATGTAGATTCTTGTAATCTGTTCCCTCATTCTCCCTCACCTTCCCTCCACTCTCCCTGGTATTGCCACTCTCACCACTGGTCCTGAAGGGTTCATCTGTCCTGGATTCCCTATATTTCCAGTTCCTATCTGTACCACAGTACATGCTCCAGTCCAGCCGAGTTTGTTAAGGTAGAACTGGGATCATGATAGTGGCGGGGAGGAAGCATTCAAGAACTAGAGGAAAATTGTACGTTTCATCTTTGCTACACTGTACCCTGACTGGCTCGTCTCCTCCCCCAACCCTTCTGCAAGGGGATGTCCAATTGCCCACAGATGGGCCCTGGGTCCCTACTCTGTACTCCCCCTCATTCACAATGCTATGATTTTTCTAGTCTTTGATGCCTGATAGCTGATCCCTTCGATGCCTTGTAATCTCACAGGCTGGTGTGCTTCTTCCATGTGGGCTTTGTTGTTTCTCAGTTAGATGGCTACTTGTTTATCTTCAAGCCTATAGGACCCCAGGCTCTATATCTTTTGATAGCTGAGCATCATCAGCTTTCTTCACCACATTTGCTTATGCACCCACTTTGTCTTCAGCGATCGTGTTGGGACAGGCTGGTGTGCTTCTTCCATGTGGGCTTTGCTGTTTCTCAGCTAGATGACCACCTGTTTATCTTCAAGCCTTTAAGACTCCAGGCACTATATCTTTTGATAGCCGGACACCATCAGTTTTCTTCACATTTGCTTGTGCATCCATTGCCTTCAGCAATCACGCCAGGAAGGTAGGCCTCTCAGACTGCCGAATTGTTAGAACAAAGTGTTCTTGTGTTGAGGGAGTACTTGAGTAGGGGCCCACTGTCCATCAGTTTCCTTAATACTAAACCTATAAATAAATGTACATAGATCCATTTCCCCCTCCTCGTATATAAATATATTTACATCTGTATATGCCTGTATTTAGAGCTCTATAAATGCCCTTTGTCTCTTAGTTCATTCCTGTATTTCTTTGTACTTTCCTCTTGTCCCACTATCATGTTCAGCCTTCACTTGGGTTTCAGGAATTCCTCTCGGTTACATTGTCCTTGAACCAGCCCTGGCAGACCTCCTACATCCTTCTTGCCATTGATTTTGGATCACTTGTTGTTCCCTTGTCTCTGGGTTTGTTAACAGCTACTTCCGTTCCCCTGCCTCTCCCTCTCCCATATCCCCCCGGAACTGTCATCTGTTGTTCTCTCTTCCAACTTGTTTATCCTGCCTATCCCTTCCAGGTAGACATGCAGCGACAACAATATGCACCATCACAAGACCGAGTAAAACGAAGCAACAATTGGGGGCTCATACAACTCTTATCACAATCCATACAGACATCCATTGTGTCACACACATTTGTACATTTATTGCCATCATCATTCTCAAAACATTTTTTTTCTACTTGAGCCCTTGATATCAGCTCATTTTCCCCCCTCCCTCCCTCCTGGACCCTTGATAATTTACAAATTATTATTATTTTTCATATCTTACACTGACCAATGCTTCCATTCACCCACTTTTTGTTGTCTGTCCACCAGGGAGGGAGCTATATCTAGATCATTATTATCGGTTCCCCCTTTCTCCCTGCATCTTTCCCTTACCCTCCTGGTATCGCTACTCTCATTATTGGTTCTGGTGGGGGTTTATCTGTCTTGGACTCCCTGTGTTTTCAGCTTTTATCTGTACCAGTGTACATCCTCTGGTATGACTGGATTTGTAAGGTACAATTGGGATCATGATAGTGAGGGGGAGGAAGCACTAAAGAACTAGAGGAAAGTTGTATGTTTCATCAGTGATATACTGCACCCTGACTGGCTTGTCTCCTCCCCGCGACCCTTCTGTAAAGGGATGTCCAGTTGCCTACAGATGGGATTTGGGTCTCCATATGATTATTTTGTTCTTTGATGGCTGATCCCTGATCCTATCGACACCTCGCGATCACACAGGCTGGTGTGCTTCTTCCATGTGGGCTTTATT